GGATTACAGGCATGAGTCACCATACCTTGCCAGGGCTTCTTTTTCTTGATTTGAGGGTTTAGTCTAGGTGGGGGTGAGATTGCAACTGGAGCCTGGAACTGGGAGCCTCATTCTGAGATGACTTCTCGGGAAAAAGGAAACAACAAAAGTCAGGGTGTAGGGCTAAAGTGAGGTTTAAGATGCATCCAGAATATAGTTCTGCCCAGGTTGGACGTGGTGGCTCATGCCTGTATTTCCAGCACTTTGGGAGGCCAAGGCAGGCAGATCGCTTAGAGCTCAGGAGTTCGAGACTGGGCAACTTGGTGAAACCCCATCAAAAAAAAAAAAAAAAAAAAAAAGCCAGGTGTTGGTGGCTCGTGCCTGTAGTCCCAGCTTACACAGGAGGCTGAGGCTGAAGAATTGCCTGAACCCAAGAGGCAGAGGTTGCAGTGAGCCACTGCACTCCAACCTGTGTAACAGAGTGAGACCCCATCTCAAAAAGAAGACAAACAAACAAAAAGAATGCAGTTCTGCCCAGCACTGCCTCTGCATTTTCCTTAAGAGGCTGCAACTTGGCTGCTGATGGGTTTGAGGTTCATGAAAATGTTTTGGAATTAGTGGTGAAGGTTCCACAACTTATGCTACTGAATTGTCCACTTTAAAATGGTGATTTTTTTGTGGTGTGCAAATTTTCTTTCTTTCTTTTTTTTTTTTGAGGTAGAGTTTCACTCTTGTCACCCAGGCTGGAGTGCAATGGAGCAATCTTGGCTCACTGTAACCTCAGCCTCCTGGATTCAAGCAATTTTCCTGCCTCAGCCTCCCTAGTAGCTGGGACTACAGACATGAGTCACTATGCCTGGCTCTTTTTGTTGTTGTTGTTGAGATGGAGATTTACTCTTGTTGCCAGGCTGGAGTGCAATGGTGCGATCTCGGCTCACCGCATCCTCTGCCTCCCAGGTTCAGGTGATTCTCCTGCCTCAGCCACCCGAGTAGCTGGGATTACAGGCGCGTGCCACCACACCAGGCTAATTTTGTATTTTTAGTAGAGATGGAGTTTTACCATGTTGCCAAGGTTGATCTCAAACTCCTGACCTCAGATGATCTACCTGCCTCAGCCTCCCAACGTGCTGGGATTACAGGCATGAGCCACTGCACTCGGCCTGCCTGGCTCGTTTTTTTGTATTTTTAGTAGAGACAGGGTTTCACCATGTTGGCCAGGCTGGTCTCAAACTCCTGACCTCAGGTCATCCACCCGCCTGGGCCTCCTAAAGTGCTGGGATTATTGTGTAAGCCACCGCGCCTGGCCTCGATTTTTTAAAAAGAGAAAAAGCAGCAGCCCAGCCACCTGCCTCCTGCAGTCTTCCCTCTGCCCGTCATTCTCAGGGTGTCTGGGAGCCATTCTCGGGCTCCCTGGGTGTGTGTTGGGGGTGGAGGGGCGCAGCCCCACCAGCCGTGCCACACGGGGGCACTTCCTAAAGTCTCTGCTGGGAGGGGCTGGTGGAAGGCTTGCCTGGGGACACTGGGACTCACTCTTTCACCTGAGGGGACGGTTAGCTCCTAAGGTCTGGTCCTCACTGGCCAATAGCCTCAGGTTGGGGTGGGAGTCGGGGGTGGGGGCAAAGTAATGCTGTGGTGGGGCTGCGGGAGCATGGACTCTGTCATCAGACAGAACAAGTTCACATCCTGGCTCCCTGCTGCTGAGCTGTGACTTAGGGCAAGTTATCTAGATCTCTCTGTGGCCGCTTCTTATCTGGCAAATGGGTATACTAATTCCACCCTTGGCAGGTTTAAATGGCATAATTTACCAAAAAGCTCAGGACATCTAGTAGATAACACAGGCTGACTTCCTAAGACCTGTTATTATCATGAGACCCAACATAATGGCAGAATCCTGACCAGGCTGTCTTAGTGATTGAAGACTGATGGTGACGAGATGTTCCCAGCTCTCCTGCTTTTCTCAGACTGCTCAAAAGCCTTCCTCCTCTCATCCTCATCACCCACCCCTGCCTTGGCCTACCACAGCCTCCCCACCCCCACCCCCAGCCTTTTGCTATGCACATCAGAAAGTGTGGTAATGTGGGAAATCATATTTCCTTTCTTTTTTTTGAGACAAGGTCTCACTCTGTCACCCAGGCTACAGTGCCATGGCACAAACATGGCTCACTGCAGCCTCGACCTCCTGGGCTCAAGCGATCCTCCCACCTCAGCCTCCTGAGTGGCTGGGACCACAGACATGCACCACCGCACCTGCTAACTTTTTATTATTTGTAGAGATAGTGTCTTCTTCCTACGTTGCCCAGGCTGATCTCCAACTCCTGGGCTCAGGAGATCCTCCCCTCTCAAAGTGCTAGAATTACAGGCATGAGCCACCACACCTGGCCAGAAATCATATTTTCTGAATCCCAAATCAGAGCACATGGCATAACCAAAATATTTGTTCTTTTACTTTATTTTATTTTTTCTCCAGAATTTAAGAAAATCCGAAATGTAGTTTGGTCAAAGGTTGGACTTTTGGGAACATTTTGATGGCTAGTGTTGATATTTATCACAGCTAGAGAGGGCCGGAGGTGCTCCAGAAGGTGAGGCATGGGTTAAATCACTTTGAATCACACGGGGAGAAAGCTCATGTATTCATACCCCCTGTTCCATTCTCCTTCACTCCTCCTGAGGATCCTCAAAGAGAAAGTCTGTTTGGTCCTAATATGACTTCAGCACCTCTCCAACACTTGCTAAGATCCTTTTCTAATAAAGAGAGAAAGTCACACATTCAGAGCCTTTGCAGGGCCATAATGTCTGGTTAGAATGAAATCTCATTGTTGAAAATGAGTAAATCTAAAGTCTCCTTTTCAGTTGATGTTATTAAGAACAATGCACATCAGTGTAAAGAAAAGTGTTCAGAAAATAGCAGAACAGGTTGCATGCAGCTACAGAGTGGAGGTGGCATGGAAATCCCTGCAGTCTGGAAAACACCGGAACACGGGACAGCAGAGCTGAGGGCTTGCAGTCAGGGTGCCCTGCAAGTGCCAGTCTGTGTGGTCAGAGCATCTTGGTTGGCCGGAGACCCTGTGGGTGAGCGAGGCTAGAGCTGGCAGAACCCCAGAGCTGCACCTGGAAGCCACCTGGCTATGAGCTGAGATGACCCCCAGTGTCTGCTCTGCCTCAAGGTTCCAGATAGGCGATCTGGGGTGGCCCATCCAGCCTTAAGAGTGGGTTAGATGACAGAGGAGCCCAGCACTAGGCCCCTGTGACTCAGATACTGACGTTGGAGGTAGAGGTGGAGGAGGAAGCGTAACTGTCTTCCAGTTGTCCAGAAAGACTGGGCAAGGTCCTGGGTCACCTCTCTGTTCTAGGCCCGTCAGAGGCTTTCTTCAGGGTCTGGGAGAAGACCGGGGAGCCCCGGAGTGGTGGGATCAAGTTCAGACACCCCTGAGCACTGCTCTTGAGTCAGGCAGGTCAGGCCCAAAAGGTGCGTGGGCCTCAGGGAGCCACTTGTTCCCCTCCGGTTCCCCTCCAGTGAAGAGCAACAGAGGAGGGGACTGGGAAACCAGGGTTTCAGCTTCAGCTTTCTCCGGACTGACTGTGTGTCCCTGGACAAGGCACTCACCCCCTCTGGGTCTCAGTGTCCCTCCAGGTTGAAACTGCCAAATGAGTTCTTTGGGTTCTGTAGGCATTGATTGGATGCTCTGCCTCCCCGTGATCCCTGAGGCCAACACCCTTTGTGTTCCTGTCCCCTTTCAGGGCAGAGCAGGACACGTGTGCCAGAGCTGGCTGCAGGCCTCTGGCTACCCCAGCCTTCAGCAGAGGCTTGTCCTCCTAGGTGAGGGGCTGTCCATGCCCAGCCTCGTGAGGCCTGCATGGTTTTGGGCAGTGCCCAGTGGCACTATTGGCAGGCTCCAGGCACTAAAGGAAGAGGCCAAGACCCTGAAAGATGGGGGAGGAAGACAGGGAAGGAAGAGGTGCCTGCAGAGAGGGTGCCGGTGGCTGCCCCTCACGAATGTGCCAAAGGTTGCCAACTTGAGTTTAAGCCTTGGTTCCAGAACACAAAGGCCCCTCTCTGGGGGCCTTAACCCCTCGGAGCCCCCACCCCTGGGCTGGCTGAGCTGCCCCAAGGGAACTAGTCCCAGAAGGGCCTGGTTGTTGGCTGCGAAGTGGCTGGGAGGGAAGTTTTAATGATACACAACACAAGACACAGGGGGGAAAAGAGAGAGGGGGTGGTGGAGGAGAGAAGGGAGGCTGGGGGGAGAAAGAAAGGCCTCCTGCCAGGCGTGTTGCCAGGAGACGGCCAGGCAGCCAGAATCAGCCCTGCTCTTTTCACAGTTGGCTTTAAGCACCGAGAGAAAGCCCGGGCCATAAAGGGGGACATGTGTTGCTGGGTGTGTAAGGCTAGCCTCTGCAGTTAGGGGAGCCCCTGCCCCCGCCCCTGCCGCTGCACCGAGAGAGCCCCTTGCGCCCCCAGCCCTGCCCCCGCGCCTGGGGGTTATGGATGAACGATAGAGCTGCCGAGCAATGGAAAAGGCAGGGGTGGCCCTGGCCTTCCAATGCCGCAGTCACTTTGGGGGTGAAACTCACCAGCTGGGGCCCCAGGGAGCTGGCAGGGGCTGGCAGGGCGGGGAGGCCTGGGATTCCAACATGGCATGTCCACAGAAAAGTATTCCTATTGGCTCAGGACAGCCCATCCAGGTGGGGGGTGGGGGTGGGGGTGTCTGCATTTCTAGGAATCCTCAACAGGGCACTCAGAAGGGAGCTGACAAGTCCCAGAAACCTGCATTCAGGCTCCTGGTTCTTGTCACGGATGCCATAGTGGGAACAGCCCCCTTTAGGCTGCACCTTGGCACTTGGGGACTGTCCCTGCAGCGCAGTGACCACTGTGTCCCTGAAGAGTCCACCACACAGCCAGGAAAGAGCAGAAAGAGGGGGAGGGTTGTTGACAAAACAAGGACTCAAGGATCCTAGGCCCTGGCTGCCTATCCAGAGAGATGTCAGTTGAAGAGTGACATGGTACTCTCAATACAGAGGACGTCAGCAAACGGGGAAGCAGCGTGTACGTGGAAGCTGGGCCTAAGCCCTGACGGTTCACGTGAGCTCCCTGGGTGATGGCTCCTTCCATGTGTTCTTACATCCCACTGGAAGCAAGCTGCAATTTCTGTTGCTTCTTGTATCAATTGCATGAAAGGAAGGGCAGTTTCTTTTGATCCTCTGGCATGCCAAGGCCTGAGTGCCAGTCCTGGGAGCCTTACCAGCCCTCTAGGAAGAATCAGAAGGCGAGCGTTAGGGGGGAAGGGACAGCCAACACACCCCGATTCCCCACCTGGTCACCTGGCCGCCTGACTTCTCTTTGAGCTTTCGGAGGCACTGCTGGAGGCCAACCTGAGCTCAAACTCAAACCCCAGTCTCCTGCTCGGTGTGGTGGGCAGCCCTGCTTCCCCGGCTCACGGAGTGAATGAGAGTGTGTGTGAGCCAGTTCTGAACAAAATCAGGAAATCACTGTGTCTTCCAAGAAATCTTTGACTCTGTGCCTATGTGTGCACTGAGCTGTCTCCCAAGTGAGTGAGCGTCCTGGAAAACAGGCCTCCCTGGGGAAGAAGTGAGCCAGCCTGCCTGCTGGAAACCGCTAGGGGCTCCTGATCCGGAGGCTTACCTTTCCTCCAACTTCCTTCGCCTCTTTTTTCTGGCTGGAGTGTGTGGTTCTGCTAGTTCTGGAGTCTTTCCTGTCCCCATTCTGGACCATGTCCCACCCCAGGTATCAAGAATGGCTCATACCTGTAATCCCAGCATCTTGGGAGGCTGAGGCAGGAGGATCACTTGAGGCCAAGAGTTTGAGACCAACCTGGGCAGCATAGTGAGACCCTGTCTCTGCAAAAAATTTAAAACTAAGCCAGGTGTGGTGGCATGTGTCCGCAATCTCCTCTACTCGGGAGGCTGAGGGGACAGCATCGCTTGGGCCCAGGGATTTGTGGCGGCAGTGAGCTAGGATGGCACCACTACACTCAAGCCTGGTTGATGGAGTGAGACTCTGTTTCAAAAAATAAAAAAAGAAAATGACTTACTTCCAGAGGGGCCGAATCTCCATGAGGAGGTGACCAAAAGGGTAGATTTGCCGACCCTTAGGGGAAAGTGGTGTCCCGGGCAGTGACTGGAGAAGCAGGTGGTGCCTGGGTCTGACTGCAGGAGGGAGGCCTTCCGGGTTCTGCCTCCGGGAGAGGGCAGGCTGCTGGGGAGGGTGCGCATTAGGAGATGGAGAGATAGGCCACCAAAGAGCCCACTAGGGCACCTGGCAAGTTCTGCTAGGCCCGCCGAGGCATGGCTGGGCTTTACAACAGGGGGTACGGAGCTCCTTGAGTGGAAAGCTCCTCTCGCTGGCTTGCCCCTGATTTCATCCCAAGAACGGTCAACTCTAGCAAGCACATATACCTGCTGGGCTGTAGGTAGAGGCTCAGTCCGGTCCCTGAGGCTGGGCACAGGCTTGGTCCTTCTCACCTGTCCTCCCCTTCACTGTCCTCTGTCATACCCCTCCCCCATGCAGGGGAACCAGTTTTCACCCGGAAGGCTCCCTATGCCCTCTCACAACTCAGCACCCCTGTTATTCCTTCAGAACCCCTGGCCAGCTCCCCAAGGGCTTCTTCCCCCCTACCCTCATATACTCTTAGAGTCTGTGGCTTCTGTTTCTCTAGCTTGTTCAGGGAAGAGTCCCTGGAGGCCCACCTTACTCCCAGAAGCACTCCAAAAAATGGCCTCCCCCAGGCAGCACCAAACTCCCCAGATTGACCCTCAGTCTCCCTTCTTCTTCTTCTTTTTTTTGGAGACAGGATCTTGCTCTGTTGTCTAGGCTGCAGCGCAGTAGTGCCATCAGCGCTCACCGTAGCCTCCATCTCCTGGGCTCAAGTGATCCTACCACCTCAGCCTCCTGAGTAGCTGGCACTACAGGCACACACCACCACACCTGGCTAATTTTTTTGATTTTTAGTAGACAGATGAGGTCTTGCCATGTTTTCCAGGCTGGTCTCAAACTCCTGAGCTCGAGCGATGCTCCCACCTTGGCCTACCAAAGTGTTGGGATTACAGGCATGAGCCACCTCACCCAGCTCAGTCTCCCTTATTCTTAATGAGGGGACCATGAGTTAATCTCTCAGGTCCACCCTCACCTCCTCCAGGAGGCCTCCCTAATTTACACCCCTCCCTCTTTGTGCCTTCTAGCTTCTCATCAGTGTTGTCATTCCTGACCTAGAGTGGCCGTCAGCAGTTGCCAAGATTTGTCCCCAAAGCTCAGGGCTGGTGGTCAGGTGGGTTAGGGATGAGTTGTCAGGGGTTGGGAGAGTACCTCTCCTAATGCAATGAGGAACAGATCCAGCTGGGTTGGAGGGAAGGGAGGAGGGCCTGGGCCCCCTTAGCCCCCTTCACTCCTCACCTCTGCACCCCTGCCTAGACTCTTGACCAGGAAGTTGAGCTAAAGGAGAGTGGAGACAGGAGACAGGGCCCTTCTCTCTGGGATAGGACTCTCCCCATGGGGCTCTTCAGAGGTGGGGCCCCTGGGAGTCCCTGGACCTTAAAGGTATTGTGCCCACACATTCTGGATGGGGCCTGCGAAGATGGTCAGGGTCATAGTGCCACCTGCTGGGGCTCCCGGGAACAACAGCTGGAGAGACGCTGACATACGTGTGTGTGTGTGTGTGTGTGTGTGTGTGTGTGTCTCTCTCGGTTGTGGTGGTGGTGGGGTAATTAATAACACCTCACCACAGATCTTAAAATTCGCCTGATATTGAACCCTCACCCCCTTTCCAAGGAAGCAGCCAAAAGAGCGCAGAGGAAATGATACTGGAATTCAACTGGGGCTCCCAGGGAAAGCCAGGGCCACAGGGACAACATTGCATGCCTTGGAACTAGTGTTTTTTGAGCTTCATTCACGAAGCCTGGTTTCTAGGGATGGTTTATCTTTTCATGGACCTAGAAGGAAAGTGGAGATTGTTCTTTGTGCTTCTATGTGAAATGGGGTTTCAAGGGCAAAAAACAAATAAGCACTTTGGATATCTTTGTGTTTTATTACATTGATAAGAGGAAGAAAAGCATGTTACATTGTAAATGTCGATGATTAGAAACAGTCCAAGGTGATCATTGTAATGTCAATTTCTGAAGCAGATGGGAGAAATAAGTAGGATAATGAAATGAATAAGCACGGTGCCTCTCACTTGCTAAATACTCTGCATGTTGGGAAATTCATTGATAAAATGAAACCCACTGTAGGGAAAGTGATTGGCCTTCTTGGCAAGCCAGGCTGGAGGTGAGCAGGGTTGGCCAGGGTCATGGGGTGATGTCTTGGTTGGAAGCCACCAGGTGACCTGTGTCCTGCTGGGACACAAGTATGCTGCTCAGTAACTCCCTGGGATTATTTTTAAAAAGCTAGATGTGTGAATAAAGAATTTGGGGGATTACATTTTTGGTTTGTAAATGAAACCTTTGCTTTAGGAAGAACTCAGCATAGGACCCTTGCAAGTATTTCTTTTTTCTTTTTCTTTTTTTTTTGAGACAGAGTCTCGCTCTGTCACCCAGGCTGGAGTGCAGTGGCGCAATCTTGGCTCACTGCAACCTCCACCTCCCGGTTCTAAGCAATTCTCCTGCCTCAGCCTCCCAAGTAGCTGGGACTACAGGTGCCCGCCACCACGCATGGCTAATTTTTGTATTTTTAGTAGAGATGGGGTTTCACCATGTTGGCCAGACTGGTCTTGATCTCTTGACCTCATGATCTGCCCGCCTTGGCCTCCCAAAGTGCTGGGATTACAGGCATGAGCCACCGTGCCTGGCTGCACCTTGCAAGTATTTCACATGACATTTGTTTTGCCCCCTTCATCCCTTTACTTATATAACCAAACTCCACCTGCAGTGACAAGGCTGGCCTGATAACCTACCAATGTAGCCAAATGCAGATGCTTCTTAGGCAGAATTTGGAGAATAAATGGGAGAATATTTGGGGGGCTGAAGACTGGGACTGATGTTGGGGAATCAGCAAGCACCAGGCCACCATCTTGGTGTATGACATTTGTTTCCCCATCGAATCCTCACTAGAACCCTACACAAGAGCTGCCGCTTCCACCCTCGTTTTACAAATAAGGGACTTGTGGCCCAGGCAGGCTGTGTGACCTGTCTGAGGTCAGAGTCCTGATAAACGCTAGAACTGGGATGTGAACCCAGAGAGTCTGGGGTGACTCCAAAGGGCTGAGGCTGGGAACATAGGAAGGTGGTGATGCCCCTGCTGGGAATGTGCCTGGGGGAAGGTTTGGAGGGATGGCTCATGGTCAGTGGGATTTAGTTTCCCACTCACCAGGCAGAGGACTGACCTGGTATGTGCTTTCAGGGCTGACATGCACAATTGTGCATGTTGTGCACTGCAAAAGGTTACCCCACATATGAGGACACTGTGCACATCACAGCCATATTTGCAGTGACTGTTTTCTGACAGTTGGAAATAAAGTGCCTGGAAGAGGAGGGACCTCTTTCTAAATCACTTAGAGGGGCTTCATGTGTGGGCGGCCTTTTCCACATGTATATCACCATCTTCCTCCACCCAAGGGAGTGAGCAGGTACTGGGGCAACTTCAGGCCATTGCTCCAACCCCTGTGTTGAGGGGGCGGAGGAAACTTTTGCATTTTCTGCTCCCTCCTCACTTCTCCCAGAGGTCATGGGAGGAGCAACAGACAGCAAAAGCCTTCTCTGTGTCACTGGCCCTGCTGTTTTTTTTCTCTCTGAGGCATCTGGACGAAGATTCAGGCTCTTGCCATCCCTGCAGGAACAGGATTGCATAAGTGGGGAGGGAAGGAAGGAGAAGAGAGGAAGAGTCCAGTGGGTCAGCAGGTCAGAAGAGATAGAACAGGGACTGCCTTAAAAAAAGAAAATCATAGACCAAGTGTGGTGGCTCATGCTTGTAATCCCAAGTCTTTGGAAGGCCAAGGCAGGAGGATCACCTGAACCCAGGAGTTCAAGACCAGCCTGGGGAACATACTGAGACCCCATTTTACAAAAAATGAAAACATTAGCCAGGCATGGTGGTACTTGCCTGTAATCCCAGCTTCTCAGGAGGCTAAGGCAGGAGGATCGCTTGAGCCGAGGAGGTCAAGGCTGTAGTGAGCCATGATGGTGCCACTGCACTCCAGCCTGGGCAACAGAGCGAGACCCTGTCTCAAAGTAAATAAATTAATTTAAAAAATTAAAAATAAAATGTAAAAAGTACATATACACACACATCCACTTATATGTAAAATGTCATAGGTCA